GTTACAACCCCCAAGCCCTGCTGACTCATCCTGTCACCACCTGATCCTGCTGGTGATAAACTTATCAAGCCCAGCATCTCTGGTCCAGGGGGACCGCCCTGGGCAGGAGTCACCATGGCAACTGGAGGCAGCAGAGGGGCCAGAAGCCAGGTTGCCAAGCGATGCCCGTAGGCAGCCTGGGTCTCCGCTTGACTGGAGGCTCGCCAGGGGCACAGCTCTCCTCAAGAAGCCGGGTGTCGGAGCCCTGCCCACCCGGACTCACCCACCTCTCGGCCCCTCCGCCTACCAGCCCCTCTGCTGCTGTCCCTCCGGGGTGACGTCAGCCCAGGTGTGCTCCCTGGAGCCTCTGTCCTGGACGTTTGGGGGATGCTGGCCCTGGATAGGTCCTCGGTCACTGCCCTGCTCGGCCTGGGAACCCGCCTCTCCCTGCTCTTCCCCCGAGACCCCCGTGGCCCCTCCTCGCCCTGCAGCCATTGCAGCCATTCCTCCTCAGGGCCCACTTACGCCTGTGCCCCCGCACCCTGCCCAAGACACCCCTGCAGGATCCACCCGTGGAGGCCGGGCCCAGAGCTGGGCCAGGGTAGCCAGTGGGCCTGGGCATGTGGAAGGCAGGGCAAGGGGCCCTCAGTGGGTGGCAACCCTCCAATTCTCCAGGCCCCCCAGGGCTGACCCACTTTTCAGACCAAGATGAGGCCCCCACGGCTGGTATTATTTGAGCTTTTATGACAGGAAACCAGAGCCGGCCGGTCCCAGCAAGGCCCGGAGGCGGTGGGAGGCTGTCTCCCTGTGCCCGCCCCTTCCAGGAGGTCCAGGCTGAACTCCGGTGGGCAAGGCCACGCCCTCACTCTGGGGAGGCCCTCCCAAGCAGCAGCAGACCTGGCAGCGGGTCTCGGCGGCAAGGCCTCAGCACCCTGCGCTTCCAGAGTCCCACTGGCACAGCCTGCAGCCCTGGTAGGGACGGGAGCCGCTGAGTTTGTGAGGTGGTGTGTGTGCACGTGCGTACGAGCGTTTGTATGGGTGTGAATGCGCGTGTCCCCATGTATACTGTATGTGCACGAGCACATCTTGGGGGGGTTACCAGGGGAGCCCCTGCCTCTTGGGCCACAGGCCTCGTGGTGAGATTCATGCCCTCCTGCCGGAAGCCACCTTTGCCCTCGGTACCATGTGTCCGGCGCCACCGGGCGGGACTCTGGCCCTCAGGGTTCCCAGCTCCAGGACACCCCCGGGGCTCCCTGGAGGGTGCCTGCTGGCTGGAGGTGCACGAGAGGGTTCGGGGACCATCACCAAACTGCGGCCAGGCCCAGCCCAGCCCCCGGACAGCATGGGGACGAGAGGGAGAAGGGGCGTCGCTACCTGCTCCCTAATGGGGCAGTTCCATGATGTCACTCATTCTGTGGCTGTGTGTGAACCTCCCGCCCGTTCAAGCCAGTGTGGACACCGGGGCTGGGCTCGGCCCACACCTGGCCCCTCAGACGCTGAGGGCAGCCCTCTCGGGAGGCCTCTGGACGGGGCCCAGACCCAGAGGCAGGCTCCCGGAGCTCTGTGATCAGAGCAGACCCAGGAGGAGAAAGGGCCCGGGGGGGGCCCAGGGCGCAGTCTCACCATCCTGGACAGGCCAACACCGCCGTCCGGGGTGCAGTTGGGGCACCTGGTGTGGACCCGGCCCAGGTCAGGGCGAGGCCGGCAGGCCCTCCCCGTCCAGGGCGGCCAGAAGCCCCCGGCGTGGCTGACTTCCAGACCGACAGGAAAACCCCATCAGCACAAAGGCAAACTGAATGGGGATGTATTTTTAAACACTCATGTTTTGTTTGTTTCTCCTCTCACGTTTGGCTTTGAGTTTCTCTTTTCCACAATTCTAACACCATTGTTCGTGCATCCCCGGCACCTGCGGCCGCGAAGTTTTCGAGAACAATCACGTGGGGAAGTAATTTCACAGTCACAGAGTCTCGGGAAGGCCAGCTGGCAGCAGGGACAGAACAGAGCAAGGCTTAAAAATTACTCGAAAGGGGAAGAAAACCCTTGAAAGTTTCAGGCCCACCTTTCTGCCCCAGAAAGAAAACATCTATGTGCAGCGGTTTCGTCTGAAGCCCGTGCCCCGTCCCGAGAGCTCCCTCCTCCGCTCCACCTTGCGTGCCAACGTTGACTCAGAAAGCTTTCGCCTCAATCTCTAGAAGCAGAAACAAAACAAGTCCCCCCCTCCCCGCCACATCCTCCAAGTATACATGAGGGATAAAATTACATTTGTACAAAAATAGATTTTTTTCTACCTTTCCCGATGCTTTAGACATCTCTTTTCTCTGTATGTATTTGTCATCCTCTCTAAGTGTGAGCTACGCATCCCGGCTAAGGCATTCTAAGGACTGGGAACGGCTAAACCTGTTTGCTCCAAAGCATCTTAAAATAGATGCATCTCCTTGCCACGAGATATCCATTCGAACCCGGATTTCACCAAAGGAGGGGTCCTTACGTACTTGCTTACATGAAGCAAATCTGTAGGAAAACGGGGGGTTGGGGGGGGAGGAAAGTCTTGATTAAAAATAAACAGAAAACGCTGGTAACTGGTACGTGTGTGTGGATGGCAAGCAGGTCTGTGCACACAGCGTCTCTGTACAGCATGTACATTGTACACCACACACCTGCGTGGGCAGGGACCGAATTCTGTGATGGGGACGACATCAGCTCATTACCCACTGGCTGCACGTTCCAGCCGGTGGAGAAAGCTCGGCATGGTCTCCGGCACTGGCCACCGGCCTGCCAGCCCGAATCCTTCCGGAACACGGCGAGTGTGGCGCCGTCTTCCGCCCCCCCCCCCCCCGGGGGACGAGAGGGCCAGGGGCTGACCCGGGAGTCATCTGGGCGGACGTCCCCGGGCAGGCCAGCTTCCAAGGAGACGCCTGACGGGGGACGAGCCGGAGTCTGGCTTTGCCAACACCTTCCAAACCCGGGGCGTGGTCGTCTTCACTCCTCGGCCTCGGGAGGCCCATCTGATGTCCGAGCAGGGAGGGGACGTGCACAGGATGGCTAATGAGCTGATGTTAGTGCTATCTTTAGAAAATTAAAGATTGTCCCACCAAAATAATAATAATAATAATAATAATTACAAAAAATCACCTTAGTTGAACCAGATTGGTAATACTACTGAAGGTCTGGTTAAATAAAAATCCTACCTCTCTACTGAGCAATGTGCCGTTTCCCCACCATCATCTTTCAAACAGCACTGCATGACAACATCGACGACAGCGGACCGAGGAGAAGATGAAAGGGCAGCCCCCAAGAGCCCGAGATGCTGCCGTGCCGGCGGGACCACGGGAGGCTGAGCGGCGAGGGGCCAGGGAGTTTCCGGCTTTGGGAGGGGGTGGCCTGGGGACCTCAGTGCTTTACGGGCAGCCAGCCCACGAGGCCGGCCCCCAGCAAAGCGCCCCATCCTGGATTTTTCCCACTGGAGCCACCACGTTCCCGAGGGGTCCAGGGCAGCGGGAGGCGGCTGGGCGTGGACAGGGTGCATCTGGCTGCAGAAGGCACCAGGGTGGCGGGCCGCGGGGTGGTCCACGTTCCCAGGGGGAGGGGGTCCCAGAGGGAGGCCCCTGAGGGTGCCGGCGTCCCTCTGCCTGACACAAGCGTGCCCCAAAGGCTGCCAAGACTTGCAGGGAGAGTCTGGGAAGAGGGACAACTAGGCAGGCGTGGGCTCGCCCCATCTCTGCCTCAGATGGTGGACGGGGCTGGGGGTGCCTGTGTGGCAGGGGACGCCTCGCCTGGGCCACCACGTTAAGGGCGGGGTGGGGTGCCAGAGAAAGGACGTGTTTATGGAAGCTTCCACATCTTCTGTCCAGGTGCCTCACGCTTAGCTCGGGCCAAACCCTGGAGGGCAAAGAATGGACCCCCTCCTCCCTAGAGGCCTGGAGGCCGGCATCTCCCCTTCCAGCCCCAGGGGCACCCTTGCAGCACCCGGGGAAACAGACTCGGGGGGAGGGCATCCACAGCCCCCATGCCCACCCCCGCTCTGGGGCCTCTCTGGTGGGGAGCGGCGGGAAGAAGACAGGCACCACAGAGCATCCCCTTCATGGGCTGAGAAGACAGGACTCTCCTCCCCAACCCCTACCCCCGGCCCCCCAGCCCCCCGGCCCGGTTCAGGCCCCCCCGACTGACAAATGCTGGGTCCATGGAGTACGAGGCATGCAAATGGAAAGTACTCAGACCAACGGGAGGGCATTACAGTGCAAAAGAGGCCAGTTCAACCTGAGAGACCCTGACCCCGCCCCCACCCCAGGGGCAGAGGGCCTGCCTGCCTGGGTTGGGTGAAAGGTCCAGGGGTGGGTGCAGGGCTGGGTGGGGTGCCCTCAACCAGAGCAGGTGTTGATGGAGCTCCCACAAAGGGCTCCATCAGCCGGCCAAGACAACAGCCGGGCTGGCTGTCCCCGAGGGGCATCCAGCCCCGGCCCAAGGGTGCTGGCACTCAACGGTTCCTGACCCCAAGAGTCCTCTGGACAGAACAGCCAGCGAAGGGGCCTCTCTACCCAGAGCGTTCCAGAATGGACCATCTGCCCCCTGCCCCGAGCCATGCGCCCACAAATCCCTCCTTCAACGTGCACAGCTGCCCAAGGACCCTCTGGGGAAAGTGACTCTCCTCTCCTCCCGTCCCTGTGGGCCTCCTTGGTGATGACCTCTGCCCTTGAGAGGTCAGCAGAGCCCAGGTCGGCATGGCCCTCCAGTGCTTCCAGGAGGGCCAGAGACCAGGCTAGCCCTCCAGGACTGGGGACTGGGGTCAGCCTTGGCCCTGGGCACAGACTGCAAGATTTGGGGGTGGGGTGGGGGTTGGTTACCCAGGGCTGGACAGGACCATGTGGGACAAGAAGCTGAAACCAGGACGATGCAAAGAGAGAAATGAGGTGGGGTGGGGTGGGCAGGTGACTCCAGTCCCTGCAGCCTTGAGGTGGCCCCAAAACCCTGCACAGAGGTCAGCTTCTGTTCTGACTGGCTCGGGGACAAAGTTGAAAGTCATCTTTGGAAACAGGGGTTGCTCACCCTTCATTCTGAGGGGAGACAAGGCTGCTTGCCCCAGAGCCCCTCCCGTCTTCCCAGGGGGCAGGTGGAGTCTTTTGCAATGAAATGCCAACCCCCCCCCCACCTGTTCCCTCCTCCCAATTGTGGGTGAGGCCGGGCTGGCAGGTTGCCAGCACACACAGGAGACAGAGGGATCCCTGCAAACAGAGGACCTCGCGACAACAAAACAGTGACGGAACAAAGCCACCCTCTGACCGCTATAGCTCCGGGGGCGGGGGCCTGAGACCCCGTGAGCCGCCCGGGCTCCCCCGGGGCTCACACCAGTTCCTGCCACTCCGGCTGCCACACCAGCATGGCCACTGCCCGGTCCAGTCGAGTAGTACTGAAAATAACGAGGGTGGCAGCACATCTCAGGCTTAGCAGTGACAGGCCACGCCCCCAAGTCCAAACATCCAGGCAGAGGAGGGGCGGGGCAGGCTCGGCTGAGAAGAGCTGCTGGCAGCCGGGCGGAGCGGCCGGACCAGTGGGTGCGAAGAACGGCCACGGGCCTAAGTCATTTGGTGCGGGGCTTCCAGCATCTCCATGAGGAAGGTGTCGATGGGCGTGTCCCCGATGAGTTTGAAGAAGAAGAGGTGTTCCAGGCACTTGAGGCCGATGGAGCGCAGGGCCGGCAGACGAAGCAGCAGCTTTGCAAACCTGAGGGACAGGAGCCGCGTGAGGGGCGGGCGGGCCCTCCCACCCTCCGTCCTGGCGCCCGGCGGCCCCCTGGGGAAGGGACCAGGCTCACTGCCCCATCCCCCTGAGGCTGCCACGGCAGGAGACCCCCAGGGTGGAGATCCAGGATGAAGGTCCAGTGGCGAGACAGTGGCCGGGCTGGGGCAGGCTGAACGGGGTTTCGTGGGGAAGCTACGACACGTGAGCTTTCTCCAGTGCAAGAGGGAGCCACGGTAGGATTTTAAACAGGAAGAAGGGCTACGAGAAGAGATCTGAGTACCAGCAATGCCCCTGGGGGGCGCCAAAGGTGAAGCCGCTCCTGAGCTGGGAGCAGGTCTGAGCACCAACAAGCCCTTCTCAGCAAGGACCAGCCTCCAGGGGGCCCCATGCCAGCGCCCACCTTCCCCAGAAAGAGCTCGGCCAGAGGCACCTGATGCCCAGACAGGGCGGGTGGGAGAGAAGGAGGCTCCGCGGGCCGTGCCCACCCCCTGGGGAGTTTCTGGGGAGGACGCTGGGTGGGGGAGGAACACAGGAAGACTTTGGGAGCCTCTTGGAAAAGGGACGCCAGGCTTAGTGGCCCGGCTGCCAAGGACAGTTGCCGTGGGGGGGTGACGGGGCCACATGCCCCTCCAGTGACATCCACATCTGTCCCCCATGCCGTCCCCATCCCACGTGCTGCCTGGTCTCTCCACATGCCCCTCCAGGGGCCCCAGGGCCTCATTAATTATTAACAGTGTCTGTATTTCAGGGGGAAAAGCCCCGTGCTTGGCTGCAACACTACCCGCGTTTTAAAGGCAGAAACGCAGCTTAGAGGCTGGAACAGGGCCAGAGAACGAGCTGTTTTCTGCTGAGCTGGCGAGATGGGCTAGGGCGGGAAGCCAGGAAAAACAGGCGGGCCTGCCACCCCTCCTCTCATCCTCCTCCGGGAAGTTTCACTCTAAACCAAACCAGATGAGGCTGAGCAAGACAGTTAACCCTGTGTGGCCCGTGTGTGCCAGTCGGCGGGGCGGCCAGCGGGAGAGGGAGGGGGTAGAATCAGGACAACAGATTTGGAATGCTGTGAAACCACTGATGCTTCCCCTTCCCCTGGACACCCACGGCACGCCTGGCACTGTGGACCCAGAAAGGAGACAATTCCAGCCCTTCCGGGGCCCACAGTCGGCCAGGAGAGACGGGCAGGTCTGCAGACCACGGCCATCTACTCTGCATACGCTTATAAACCACCTACTATGTGCTGGCGTCCTTCCCTGCTAGGGGTGAGCACGCCAGGCCCCTACCTCTAGCGGTTCCCTTTGGCAGGCGGAGGAAAGCACTGACTTCGTTCACGTGCTTTACAGCGACAAGCACCTACTGTGTGCCCGCGCTGGGCCCATCTTTTTGGTGGGGCTACAAGGAAGCGTGAGAGCGTGCCCGCTGAGGCCGGGAGAGCGCCTCAATCCCCCACTGCCCTGGGTGAAGGCAGGGTGTCGCCTTCTAATTCACAAGAGTGTCTGAAGGGCTGGTGGCGGGGTCCTGCCCTGGGCAGGGGGTCTGCAAAGAAACCCCGAGGTCCGTCCAGGCAGAGGCTGGGCCGAGGCTCACCTTCCTGGCTGCTCGGGGTACTTGTGTTTGCAGTACGCCTCCAGGGACGCGTAGACCTTCTCGCGAAGCGCCTCCACCTCGGCCGGGTTTGAGAGCCCCTTGGAGTCTGTGAGGGAGCAGGGGCCGCAGGTAAGAGCCCTGCCCGGGGAACCTGCCCCAGGGACCGAGAGCCCCGACTCAGACGAGGCTGCTCGAGCCCTGGCCCTGCCGCTTGCTTGCTGGCCACTTGACCTTGGGCCAGTCCCCTGACCTCCTGCCATTCAGCCCCATCTGTACAGTGGGATGGGCCTGCCCCCGGGGCGGCTCCTGGTTACCAGGGAAACCGGGTGGACTCCAGAGGCCTCTGCTGCGTTGGGTCTCAGCCCCTTGGAGCCAGATGAAGGCTCCAAACCCTCTTGTACCTGAAAGAGCCAGACCCACGCTATGGGGGGCCCTGAAGCCATCCTGAGCCCTGGGACCCTGGCGGCAGGGGCCCAGTCTGGAAGGCTCTGCCTGTGGACGGAGATACCCGGGACCAGGGTCGCCAAAACCCCCAGGGCCCAGGGGTGAGGCTTAGAAGCACGGGCCGCCCCGGCTCATCTTCGTGAGCTGTCACAGGCCTCTCTCTGAGGCACTGAGAGCCCCCCGGCCGGTCAAAGCTTTGCTAATAAGCCCCTGTGCTTCTTTATCTCCTGAAGTCACCCAGCAAGCTGACAGTGGACGAGCCTCTCTCTCTCCCCACTGCCCCCGGACAGCAGTCACCACTGGGCGTCTGGATTTGGGCTCACACAGCCCTGAGTCTGGCCCCAGCCAGGCATGGTCCATCCTAGTGGCTCAGGGGGCAGAGGCTAGAGCCTCCCTGCTGCTGGTTTGAAGCTGACGCAGCCTCCGGGGGCTCAGCCATGGAACAGGACTGCTGTCGGTTGGCCCGTGAGTCCCAGACCAGGGGGTCCCACACCGGCCCTGCCCTGGCTGGCTGATGTCCCAGTAGGAGCACTGCGGTCCAGTGTGAATGCCATGGTGGCTCGGGGTCCTGGGCACCTTGGGAACATGCCAGGCTCCGCTGCAACTGGGCTCCCCCAGGCCCTGGGGCTCTGCCAGCTCTGGACATCTCCCTTCTGTCCCCAGCAACCCCACGCCTGGGCCCCAACAGGTGAACCAGAGCCAGGAGCCAAGCCACGCACGACTTCAATGGGGATCCCGCCAGGCAGGGCCGAGACACGTGGCTCAGCCTCCCATGCCGGCAGGGTCACGGGCTCGAGCACAAAGCTGGGGAACACACGTCCCTGGCAACGGGCTGTCCCCCACGAGCGGACTCCATCTCCACCCCAGCCCGGCCCTCAGCACTGGAGCCGGTGGAGGGCAAGGAGTCAGGGCCCGTGACCCCTAGGGCCGTCCCATCCTCCCACCGCCTGGTCAGCTCCCTGCACCTCCCCCTAGAAACCCTCAGCAGCCCCAAACCTGCCCCCGGTGTCCCCGTCCACCCCCCAAAACATGCGGGCTCCAGAACTCCGGCAGCAGAAGCGCGCGAAGAGGCCGTCTCCTCTGGAGCCCAGGATGCCGGTGCGAGTGGGGCCTCGCTTTGGACACAGCGCCCAAAGGCCCGGCCAGAGGCCTCACCAAACCGCAGAGGATGAGCTCGGCTGCGCAAGCCTTGCCCGACCTTCACGAGGGCCTTGGGAAGAAGGTGGCATGGCTGTGCCCCCATCGTAAGAGAGACACCGAGGCTCGGAGAAGGGGCAGGTCGCCGACGCTGCAGCGCCCGTGAGCAGTGGGGCTGGGCTGAGAGCCCGGGGACTCTAGTCCCACAGGTGGGCTGACACCCGGGCCTGGACAGCAGGTGAAGTGGCAGGAAGGCAGTACCGGGGTTGAAGAGGACGATGGCGCGCAGGCAGCCCAGCTCCGTCTTGTCCATCTGCATGTCCCGCATCTTGGACACCAGCTCCGTCAGCACCCTGCGGGGGAAGCAGGCAAATGCCGACGTCCCAAGTCAGACCACGACCCTCACAGGACCCGCCAGGAACCCCAAAGCGCTCGGGAGGCCCGCTGTGGGCCTGGAGGGCAGCTGAGAAGAGCCAGGAGACCGGGGGAGCTGCCCAGCCTGTCCCACCCCGCCCCGGGGGCGCCATGCCTCTTCCTCAAGAAGGTCTGCGAATGGGATTTTATCCTGGGGGGCCAGAGACTAAGGAGGAACCTCGTGACAGCCGGGGCGAGCCAAGGCCCCGCACGTCCAGGGCAAAGCCCACCGCCACACGTCCCCACGGGGATGCAGACCAGACACGGCGGCCTGAGCGCCGCATTCCTGCCGCTCCCCGGAGTCCGCCCGCGGGAAGGCACTTCCCCAGCTCCTGGGCTTCCTGGCTCCTTCCTTGCAGCCGGAGCAGGCTCCGTTCCACTTCCCGACACCGGCCACTTATTACATTCCCATCACCGTCACCTCTCTAGCAGCTGGAACCACAGAACTGTCAGCTGGGTGCGTGACTGAGGCTGCACTTCTAAACATGCCCCCAGAGGGACGTGCTCTCCAAAGAAGCCGTCTGTGGGCAATAAACCCCGCGCTCCACAGCCCCTTTTGGTGGCACTTCTGTACACGAGCTCGTTAAAGGCCCTGAAACGTCCTGTGGCAAAGACACATCCCTACACTGTCTAAACCAGTGCTTGCCCACAGTACGTGGTGCCCCTCTGTTCTCCCTGAGCTGTCCCACGGGGCAGCAGGGCTCCCACATTTATCCCCAGGGGGCTACAGGAGGGGCTTCTGCTGCTCCCCTCTAACTTCAAGGCTCCTGTACTCGGGGGCTCGCCTGGGACCCCTCCCACCACCATTCCCACCCCCCACGCCCTGCCACTCGCTCCTTCCCACTCACCACTCCTGTACCACGCCCCCCACACCCGAGGGACCCTGGGACGCCCCTCCCCAGCCCTTCCCACTCTGGCTGGCTGAGCTGACACCCAGGTCCCCAGGTCCCCAGGTCCTCCGGGCTCTTAGGCAAGGCCCAGAGACAGGAATGAGTAGCTCCTGTCCGCCCTGCCTGGTGCAGCACAGGTGGGCCATGATTCTGGAGGCACTTGAACGGAGCCCCCTGCCCACCGCCCAGCACTGGCCCCCTGGCTGTGTGCCGAGGGGCAGAGAGCGGTGTCTCCACCGGGGACACGCCAGAAGCAGCGCTGAGATGCAGCCGGGCACCCGGGGACAGGGTGCGCGCGGGCTCACAGGCGCTGCGATGCTTTTAGTCTCAGCTCGTAAGAGTCTCCGCCGCATCCGACATGACAGTGCCACGGAACAGCATCTACGGCACAGTCTCCCTTTGCATTAAAAATAGGGCAGCTTTCCTTCCCATGGGCAGGACTTGAAAACATACTTGGAGAAAAGTAAACCAAAAACGTCAGCTGCAGCTGTCGGGTGTCCCCGGAGGGATTTTAACCTCAGTCCTTGCACATCTCTGTATCTCCGCAAGTACAACCCTCGTGAACAGGACAAAGGCCAAGCAGGTCACGGCCGTGGGCTGGGCTGGGCCCCCACCTGTCAAAGATGGCGCCCACCCCCGCGCTGTGGGCGCTATTGCGGTGGACGTGCAGCCCGGTGGCCAGGAGGATGCCGTCCTTCACGGCTATGGAGCGGTGGGAGAAGGAGGCGATGAGCAGCTCGTTCCAGCCTGCGGCGGGGAGAACACACGGTCACTGCTGTCTCCAGACCCCCGGGCCGCCCTGCCCCCGACCCCCGTTGGGCCCCCCAGAGGCAGCTCTCACCCTCCCAAGCCACGGTTCCCAAAGTGGGCTCCATGAAACCCCGAGCCCATGACCGTTCCACAGAAAGGAAGTTCCCAAGCATGGACGTTTGGGGGATGCCTCTACAGTGCGTGCAGTAAAGGCCCCGAGAAGTCCTGCACAGAGCATGTCCTGTAGCGTAGTTTAACCCAGGCTCCCCAACTAGGGTGCCAGGGAAGTCTCTCTCTGCAAGTGCCAGACACTTGTGCCACGGAGCACAAGGGAGCTCCCAGGACCCTCTCCAGGCGGCCCCGGAGCAGCTGCCGCCAGTCTGGCCCCCCACGGCAAACTCCCAGAGACTGACATTTTGTGGATGCCACAAAACAGTAAATTATTGAGCTGAAACAAGGCGTGTTTAGAGCCAAAGGCCAACTCACCGCTCTGTCTACATGAGGCCCTGGCGCACCCAGAGTAGGTGCAAGGGCTACAAAGAGGGATGGAAACGATTCTGTGAGCAAGTGTTTCGATGACCCTATAAACTGAACAGCATGAATCATCCCACAAGACTGTCACCAGTGACCGTCACAGCCACCACTCCTGAGTGCCCTGAAGGTTCTGGGCTGGTGGCTGCCAGTATCACAAGGATCATCCCATTGAATCCTGATTCAACCCTACAAAGCAAGTATTGGCCCCGTTTATTATGCAGAGGAAAATTGAGGCCCAGGGAGAGGAAGGGGCTGCCTGGTCAGTGAATCAGAATGCCCTCCAACCCCTGGTCCCAGACTTCCCCAATCCCTACGGGTCTGACGGCTCTGGGTGTTGGGTTTTGTGCCCCAGAGTGAAAACTCCTTTGGGCACGGGCTCTCCCCGCCCCCAGGTTCAGCGCGAGGGACACCCCGCTGGCCAAACACCAGGGCCAAGGACCAGAGCTCTGCGAGGGGCCAGACCAGCCCCCCAGCGCCTGCCCTACCTGCCACTCTGCGATCACTCTGCCTCTCTCCCTCCCATCCCCCACTGAGGCCCACCCAGCCCCTTCCTACCTCTGACCCTGCTGCCACCTGTCCTCCTGCCCCAAGAGTGGGCCCAGCAGGCGCTGGGCTGGCCCGATGCTCCTGTGGCCCCCAGCACAGGCCCGGAGCACGCAGGTCAGCAGGTGCACACCGCAGGGCCCAGTGCGCACGTATGGACCGGTGGGGCGGGGCTCCCGCCCAGCACCTCCCAGCTGGCCCGTCCCTACTGTCTCTCTGGCAGGAGCTTTGCGCCAAGGACCCCAGTGTCCCAGCAGAAACCGGCTTCCACGCGGCAAGGCCGTCATGCCCACTTTCCAGATGAGAGAACGGCCTGGAGGGCGGGCGGCTGCCTTGTCGGGACTCCAAAGCTGCCGCTCCCATCCCCCGCCCCCGCCTGCCCCCAGGTTCCAGGATCTCCCTCACCACCTGTTCGGCGTGGGGTGTGTGCTGAGCACCGAGCGAGCTGTTTTTGCACCAGCTTCGCGCATCGCAAGCCCAGCCTGGGAAAGGGGCTGCGGCCTGAGTCGGGGGAGAAGGCAGAACACACAGACCCCCAAGGGCAGCCCTTGCTGGACATGCTCACCCCTCCCTCTCCACAGGTCCCCCAGACGGCCCGTCACCCCTCTGAAGGCCACTAGGAGAGACCCCAAACTGAATCCTTCCTTATGAGGGAGGGGAGGAAAACCCAGGCTGCGGTGGGCAGTGCAGGAGCAGAAGCCCCGGCCCGTGCCCCTTCCCCTGCGGCCCCACACAGCAGCAGGAAGGCCACGTCCCACCCGCGGGGCCCCAGAGCCCCCGCCCCTCTCCTGTCCACGCCTGCCCAGCCCCCGCCAGGCCCGGCCACTCACCTGCCCGCAGCAGGATGACCTGGTCGTCCAGGGGCAGCTCGGAGAAGTGCGGGATCCGCTTGGCCCACTCCACCAGGGTGAAGAGCTGTTTGTCAGCCGCTTGGCAGATGTTGGTGACAGGGTCATTGGGCTGGGGGAAGGGGCACCACGGTGAGCACCGAGCAGAGAACGCGGCCCCAGACCAGGCCCCGCCACACGCCTTACCCGGCAGTGGCGGCTCAATAACGCCCCCAGTGACACCCACGTCCTATACCCCAGAACCTGCTAATGTGCCACCTTACCCGACAAAGGGAACTCTGCAGATGCGGCCGAGTTAAGGGTTTTGAGATGGGAGGTTACCCTGGAAGAAGTGGGTGGGCCCAGTGCCATCACGAGGGTCCCTACTGGAGGGGGGAGGAGGTCAGAGCAGAGAGAAGGCATGAGGACGGAGGCCGAGGTCGAGGAGGGAAGACGCTGCCGGGCCCGAAGCCGGAGGAAGGGCCGGGAGCAGAGGAACGCGGGCAGCTCCGGAGCAGGGACAGGCTGGGCAGCAGCTTCTCCCCGAGAAGGGCCAGCCCTGCCGATGCCCTGATTTGGCCCAGGGACACTGAGCTCAGACTTCTGACCTCAAGAAGCATAAGATACTAAACTCTGTGCTGTCTTAGGCACTTGATTTGTGGTCACTTGTCCTAGCAGCCACAGGAAGGACACCGTGCTACGACCCACTCAGTCCCCACCGCAGCCCCGGGGGCTGGGGCCGGGTGACCCCGTGTCACAGGCCAGACTAAGGGGTGGCACACAGAGAGGGTGCATCAGAGGCCCCTCCAGAAAGTTCTAGCCAGAAGGGGACGCCCCGGTCATTCTCAGAGACGAGGAAACCTAGGCGGCCTCAGCGGCACCCTGCTGCTCCCGGCTCCAGCCTGTGGGGCTCGGGTGGAGAACCCTCTGGGCCCGGAGACGGGGGGACCGAGGCCCGTGCACGGGATGTGGAAACCCCTCATTCCAGAAACCATGACGGTCAGGCAGCCACACGGGGGAGGCCCCCTCAGAAGAGCTTCCCCTGACAGAAACCATCCGCCCTCCAGTGACGTAGCCTAAACAACCTAGCCCCGTGAAGGGCCTGCTGAGGGCTCTCGTGGGAGGCCCGGTGACAAACTGGCACCGAGGCCACCAGGGTGGACAGAGCCAGGCATGCAGAAAGGGGACCTGGGACCCCGGGAGAGGCGGCAGCCGGGGAGCGTGGCCAGTTGGTCCGCGGACCTCAGGGGGAAGGGGCAGACAGGCACCAGCCGCTGGGCGCCCCCGCCTCCACCTGCTCTGCAACAAACCTCCCAGGAGCGTCAACCAGAAGTCCACACACTCGCTGGGCCCCGGACACCACGTGCCCAGGACACCCTGCGGGCATCGCCCACCCCATCCCGTCTGATGGACAGTGGCAGCCACGGGCACTCACACGAGCGAAACACCCAGCAGCTAGCGTGCCAGAGGCCAGGGCCAGGTTCTCGCCGGAGCCACTGCAGCCAGGCTGCACTCCCCGGGGACCGTGCTCCTTGCCCTTCCACGCCGCAGGGCAGCCCCTCGAGGTGAGAGCACAAGCCTGATGGTGGGGGGCATGGGGGAGCCATGCAGGGGGAAGCAGGGGGCATGGGGAAGACCCGAGGAGAGCCCCAGGGGTCGGGCCTTCTCCCTGGGCACCGGCCAACAGCCCCCTCCGAGCCCTCAAGGGGCCCAAAGCAGGCCCGGGGCACAGGCCGTCACCCTGAGCCACTCCCGGGCAGGCCGGGGCCTTGTAGGTGAGCACAGTCACGCCTAGAGCTGGGGGCGACGTCTGCCTGCACAGTGGGTGCAGGACTAGGCCTGGGGGGCTGCCCTGGGGGAGGGGCCTCCAGCTCTGCCCTGCTCCGTCCCGCAGGGTGGTCTCCAGCAAGTACTTGACTTCTCCGAGCCTGGATTCCCGCTCAGAGACAAAACAGGCCTCATTCAGCGGCAGTTTCTGGAGCTCCAGCCCGTGCCTGAGAGGGCGGGACCTTCCCTGTCCTAGGAGGTGACAGCGGGATCCCCAGGCAGAGGCCCGAGGCTGCCCCAGGGCAAAGAGGTGTCGCTGGTGTCGAGAGAAGGGGCCTAACGAGCCATCCCCGGGGGGCGGAACCCAGGCCAGCCCAGCGCAAGCTGCAGCACGAGGGCAGGCCCTCTGCCCGGCCAGCCCGCCTGCCTGTCCCCTAGACCCCCCTCCGCCTGCTCTGAATTTGTGGAGAGAGAAGACGGCAGATTTGTTTTCTTCCCAATAATGTCCTTACTTGACAAAATTAAAAGCTGGCAGCCCAGGACTTCTCTTTCGGGGTTTCGACTCAGTCGTGAAGCCCTCCCCACCCCGCACTGGGACCGGAGAGGGGGCGTGGGGTCGGGCCGGACCACAGACCAGATGGACTGCTGAGCATCACAGCCGACGGGAGTCATTCTACGAGAGGCCGAGAGGCGGCACGCCCAGGAGAGGGCCCGCCTTCCCTGGCACGCAGCCGAAGCGGGCGTCTCAGAGGGGCCGTGGTCCTGGGGCATCACAGTGCAGGGCAGCAGGGCGACCCCCCACAGATGAGACGGGACCCTCACACTCGGAGATGGGGGTGGGGGCCACGTGAGAGCGCCTACGGGCAGGGCAGGGTCCTGTGGGACAGCCTGATGGCAAGGATGGAGAATTGACCCACCGCACACGCTGCGGTGTGGCCCCCACGTGCTAGGGGCCGTGAAGAGTAACGTCAGGGGCTCTGAGCCCACAGGACAGGGGCACCAGTGGGGTCAAGAGAGAAAGGGGCTCCGCGAGGAAGTGACACCTCTCTGAGGCTGAAGCCCGAGGAGGAACAGAGGGAGCGGCACATGCAAAGGCCCTGGGGTTGGGGGTAGGGAGCTGGGCAGGTGTGTCTGGTGCCGTCTGGGCCACCGTGAGCCAGGGAGACCTCAGGGCAGGCCACAGGGCTGTGGTCCCACCCTGACCACACACGGGAGACACAGATGTAGTCTGGACCTAACGCTGCCCGCAAACCTGGGGCAGACAAAGAACCCCTGAAACCCGGCTGGACGATGGGCCAGAGACAACACGAAGCTTGAAGGTTACCATAAAGTCCTGGGCTTTGAGACAAACAACCGAAACCTCACCCACCTGACTGGGGACATTACAGAGGGGGTCTCCCTCCCAGGAGCGCGCCGGGGCCACAGTCCCCAGAGCAGGGCGGGTGTGCACTCACCGAGCTGGGGTTCAGCCCCACGTTTGCCTCCACGTACGTCTCGGTCTTGGGTTCGACGGCCAGCTCGGCCTCCAGGATCTTCTCCACGGGCATGTCCTCGTTGGCGCTGCTTGTGGACTCCACCTCGTTCTCAGCCCGGTCCTTGCCCCGCTGCCGCTCCTCCTGCACAGCTGAGGCACGGGGAGGCTTCCAGTCAGCCCGCAGCTCCCGCGGCAGCCCCTCCGCCGCCAGGGCCCGAGCAGCGCGCCCACAAGCTGGCCGGGGCCGGGGAGAAGGATGCTGCTCAGAGCCGGCCAGACTGCGGCCCCCTTCTCTGCCCCAAGCCTGGCCTCCTGGAGGCTGTGTGCTCTGAGAACAGAACACGCTGCCTCTCATTAATTCATTCACCTACTGGTCACCCCAGGACCCGCCCAGTGCCAGGGCAGATGGGACCCAGCTCTCAGGAAACTGACAGTTCAACAGGGATCTCAACGTGGAGTGAGAAGGGCTTTGATGGGCTACGGACTGAGGCAAAGCCAGGAAGGCTTACCGGAAAAAGTGACAATGAAATTGAAGGAACGGGAAAAATAGGGAGAGCAATTCAGGCAGCAGAGGTAGCACGTGTCAAGGTCTAGAACCAGAGCAGAAATGCTGCTGACGAAAGGGCCTCTCACGTCAGCTAGGGAGCAGGACAAGGGGTGCAACGGTGGGGAGCGTGGCCGAGAACAGGGTCCAATGTGCCCCAGGAAAAGGATGGGGTGAGATGCAGATCTCTGATAGTCCCTTTCTGCTGCGGGGAGGAGAGGGGCTGGGGGAGAGCACAAGCTGGGTCAAACCCAGGCTTGAGACGGGACAGCCCGGGCTGGCCGGGCAGGTGCGGGGGTCCAGCACGAGGGTAGAACCTGAACAGATGCTGCAGTCGGGGCAGCCTAGTTTCTGGGAACCCAGGGAGAGAAGCTGATGGGAGGAGGCGGAGAGGGAACGGTTCATTCCAACACATCCCCGCGGAGACCCAGGTGGGAGGGAAGGCCGAGGGGACCAGGCACCCCACGGCTGGGCGTTCACAGACCCTCGACTTCACAGCCCATGCAGCTCAAGCCGCCCTTTCCCAAGACGGGCCGGGACCTCCCTGAGGTCACCCAGCAGGCCCAAGGCGACGCTGAACCAGAGCCAGGCTGTGGACCCCACCCAGAGCCCCGCAAAGACACAAGAAGGCTCCCGGGGGCTTCTGCAGCGCCCTCTGCTGACCCTCACACCCCCACTTCCTCTGCTGGGGACACCAAGAGCCCTGGACCCAAGGAAAGGAGGCCTGGCGGGGTGGGAGAGGCTGCCCACACAGCACCAGCACGGGGGAGCCCCTGGGCGTATTGGGCCTGTGCCTCCCCAGGGACGCGCCAGATGCCACTAAGCGAGGGCCGCAGCACCAGGACGGGGCCCACCACCGCCGCCGGCCGCCCTCCCTTGGTCCTGCTCTGCTGAGCCAGAGCAGATGTCCAGACGTCCCCCGACACTCCCAGGGCGCCCACGGCCTCCTCAGGACCAGCTCCTCAGCCCCCACCCCACACAAGGCTTCCTGGGGCCCCTGGAGGCCCCAAGGCAGAACAGGAGCTTATGCGAGGCGACTTCCCGAGGGCTGCAGTGAAACTTCTCACACACTCCCAAGCCCCACAGAGGGGAAGGCCCTGCACGCAGCCCCCAGCATGGAGCCTTCCGGAAGCCGGGAGGGTGCGGCCCCTCGGGGGACTTCCCACGTGCCATCACCCCTCTGGGCCTCAGTCGAGGCTTACCGTCCCCTGCAGGAAGTCTGGACCGGGCAAAACACAGTGCCCTGTTCCCGCAGACGCCGCTGTCACGGGACTGCCCCCCACCCCGCGTACCTCCAGACCCACCTGCCCTGCCCAGCTCCGGGGCCCGAGCTCGGGGCTGCCTCACCCCGGGCCCTCTCACCCTTGGCCTCGGGTGGGTCTTGTAAACGCAGGGGACCAGCAGGAGGGAGGAGGGGGTCCGTGGCTCTGGTGCCCGCCCTGCCCGGCCACGGTTCTCAGCGGCCACTTCCTCCTCAGGCCACAGCTCTAGGGGCTCTGCCGGCCCACCCCCGCTCCGTCCTCCAAGCCTGGGGGTGTGAGGGCTCCCCTCTCTTGCTCCCTGGGGGTCCCCCGGGCCCGTGCGATTCTTGGAACACCGCCCACAGCTCTGCAACAGTCCATGTGGACCCCTCTCCAACACGCCGGCCCCGCCAACGACCGTTCAGACCCTCTCCGGGCCGCGGGGCTCCCTGAGGGCCGGCCCTGCATCCTTCCTGCATCCACAAATGGCTATTTACGGATGGCCCCTGCCAGGGGCTGCGCTCTCCGAGACGCAAACGCTGACTCGAGTGAGAGATTTTCCATCCGTGTGGCGAGACTCAGGACAGAGGGCTGGCCCATGCTTCAGATCCACCAGCTGGGCCCTGGAGCCAGGCGGGAGGCCTCGAGTCAGAGTTTTTGCAAGCCTGGTGCTTCTGGAAAGTCTGACAGCCGGTGGGGCTGGGTGGGGAGCTCAAGCTGGCCGGCCTGGCTCTGGCCTCTTCCGACACAGCGGATGCTGGGCTGGAGCAGGGCACCTCCTCGTGTCGCCGTCTGCTACAGGGGACGGGGTCACAGACCAGAAGAGTGGACCCGGTGGGTGGCAGCCACACAGGCTGATCTGGACCAGCATCCGGAGTGATGGGGACCCTGGCAGGCCGGTGTCCCTGAGACCCTGACGGTGGGGGTCCCCAGGGTCTGTCCTCTGAACAGAACCCTAAATCCTCAGAGCTGGGACACAGCTGAGAGGCACGTTTGAGCAGGTGGGGAAACAGGCCCAGAGCACCAAAGGGGTGCGGCTGAGCCCTCAGGAGAACAGGCGGCTTAAAGCTACAGGCTCTGGAATCAGACACTGCTCTGCCCCAGCTGCTGTGTGGCCCCGGGCGAGTCCCTAGCCTCTCAGTGCCCCAGCTTCCCCAGCCACAGAGTGACAAGGTCGGCACCGGCCTCCAGGCTGGATCCGCAGGAGGCACCCTCGGGACGCTCGCGGCTTCGTCCCCGCGCACGGCGGCCCAGTTTAAGGGGCTCTCCTCCCCTTCCAGATGGGACAGGGTGGCAGGTGGGGGTCCCTCAGCACTTGCCTCCTACGTGGGGGCGTCCGGAATTAATTAGCGAGCGCTCTGTGAAGCGCTCTGAAGCCATGAAGGGCCGGGCCGCTCTGAGCAGCATTGTTACAAATGTTATTGTTTTATTTAAACACGGGGGTGGGGGGGCAGGGGGGGGGGGCTGGGGATTCATGCTTAGCCAGCTCGACCACCTCTTAGACGTGGCTGTGTTTGACTTATGTCCGCTGGCGCCGGGAAGCCTCGGGTGGGAGGCGCCGGCCAAGACAGGGCCTCGTTAACCTCGCAGCCCCGAGCCACGGGCAGAGGGGCCGGCACGGGGAGGGGGCGCTGCCGGGAGGGCAGAGGAGGCCGGCCCCCACGCCGAGGATCCCCAGGAAAGCCCCTGGGGCCGACCCTCCCCCAGCAGCCGAGCACACGCCTGGGAGGGACACTCAACGCCCAGCATAAGCGGGGTCCCCGGCGTCAGGAGACAGCTGGTGCCGGACGTCCTGGGGAGCAGCAGCCCACAGCCAGGGTGGGACCCCCGCCCCGTGACCTGCACAGTGCCCACTGCCGCCCTCCGGCTCCTGGGACCGGGCAGGAAGCCGCGAGGTGGGAGGGGTGTCTGGGCGGGGTGGGGGTGGGGGGACCACAGGCCTGCCACCTCCTTTGCTTTGGCACCGCCAGCGGCTGGGCCCTTCCTCCATCCCCTGTATGGCCCCCGGGGCAGGCAGGGCTGGACTTCTCCAAGGGCCCTGGCCCGGCTGCCTCTTCTCAAGGCCGGCGGGGCATGTCCCTGTCAGAGGTCACAGGGCGAGTTATGTCCCCCGAGCTCGGAGGACACATCCCTCCTTCCCTCAGGGGGCTCAACCCAGGACAAGACGCCTGCACACAAGAATGATCACGTGCAACATACACAGGCACGCACACGGGTTCACACGCTTGCACACACGCTGCGGCCCCCACTCTTTGACCCCACCACCCGCCAGGCGCGGGGCTGGCACCCGCCATGTTCCCTCCAACAGGCCCTTCGGGGAGCCTGCCGACACCCCCATGCACCGCGTGGAAACTGAGGCTCGGAGAGGCAAGGCCACGCGCCCCACCTGCACAGGGAGGCGGGGGAACCAGCGGGGGCCTCTCCGCAGCCGCTGCGGGGCCATGCCCGCCGGCGCACACGCATCAGGCATTGCCGTTTCCACACCCCAGTCCCTCGGAGGCAGAGGACGGGGCGCAGGAAGGAAACGGGGAGAGGCCTTCCTCAGAGAGAAAGAAGGAAGCAGAGGCGGGGCAGCGGGTGACCCTCCAGCCTGCTGCTGTCAGGTCTCCCCCGTTCAGACGGGAGCACAGGCAGGCCCCCGAGCCCCGCAGCTGCACGCCCAGGGGACAGGCCCGGGCTCAGCCTGGGGAGGGCCGGCCCGCGGGGCAACTCCCACCTGGGCCCCACCAACCCCGGAATGCTGCGGAACGAGCCCCCAGGGGCTGCGTGTGTGCGCACGCCCCTGTCATTGCCCGACACGAGACGCCGTGGGCCTGCCGCGTCCCTCCTTACCAGCGCGGGGGCAGGGTGCCCGTCGGCCCTCCCTGCGGTCGGCCGGTCCAGGGGCCAGCCCCAAGCCTGTGTCCCACCTGCCCCAGGGGTGTGATCACAAGCCTCTCCCAGGGGTCGTGCGGCACCGAGGCCGGTCAGCATGGCCGCCCGTGTGGGGCTGGCACCTAGGAGGGCTCAGACCGGCCCTGGGGGCGGACAAGCCACATCCTGTGTGCTCCCGGCCAAGGCTGGGGTGGCACTCCAGGCCCCCGTCCCCCTGGGCCCCACTGTGCCCCAACTCATGCTGCCACCAGCCCTGCCACCGCCAGGGAGCCCTCCTGGTGGGGGTCGCTCGAGGACAGCAGAGAGGAAGGAGGCTGCCTCAGGTCCAAGCCCCCTGCAGGGCCGGCACTGAGGCTGCGCTGGGGCCACCCGTCACTCCTCCCGAGCGAGAGCGAGGCAGTGGGCCGGGCCCCGCAGGCGACGGGAAGCACGACGGGCGCTGCCACCCACGCCAGGACAGAGCCTCCTCCCGTGGCCCCAGGGCTCGCAGGCCGCACTGCGGCGGTGAGGAGAGTTTTACGTTGTGTTGGGAGCAGGGGAGGGCGGTGTAGGAGGGTCCTGACCGCCTGCTTGTGACTTATAAATCCAGCAAGAGGCAAGGGGGTGGGGGGGGGGTCCTGATGGGATCAGGTATTTATCTAATGGCCCATAAATCAGGTCTGCCTCTGGATCGCGCCCAGCGCTCCAGATTTATGCACCAGACGAGAGATGGGCGGCGTGGCTCCGGCCCAGGCAGACGGGAGCAGCCCGGCCCCGCCAGTGTGGCCCTGAGACCTCCGCGAGCGCCCCTGCCCCCTGCACCCCGTTTCTCTACCCGGGAGGTGTGGGAACAGCGTCACAGCACCACGGCTCAGAGTGTGTGCGACAAGGACAGGGCCCCCAAAGAGGCTCCGCACACGGCAGGCGCTCCTAACAGCCCCCGGTGAGCACAGGGTAGGGGTCAGACCCGGTGCCTCCCCAGCCCCGAGCCTGCAGCTCCACTGGGACAGGAGAGGGGTGTCATCCACTCTCCCCCAGGCCTTGGGGGAACAGGCAGCTGGGGTCTGCCCAAGGCTCATAGGTGGACAGGCTGAGGGGGCCTTGGGGGGGGGGTCAGCGTTTCCGGGAAAGCCCTGGGGACCCGTGGACGGTCACTCTCTGGGGCCCCACAGTGCACCACATCCACTGAGTTTCTCGGCCTCGGCGTGCGCTGACCCCGGCAGCTGGGCACGGGGTCTGCCAAACACCCTTCCACTCTTCTGGTGTCAGCTGGACATCTGCCCACCCAAGCCTTGCCTGATGTCCACGGCTGGGCCAGGGGCCCACTCTAGGCTCCCACAGTGCCCTGGGCTTCCCCTAAGGCAGCACTGCTCACACCTGGGGGGCCCCGCCTGGCTGTCCGACGGTCACTGTGAATGGACGGATGCCCATGGCTCGCTGCTGTGTGCCCAGCGCCCGGCGTGGTACCAGGCACCAGGGGTGGCCAGCTCAGCAAGCGAGTGACGTCACTCTATACTGTGGTGCCCACAAGGGAGCCCCGAGCCGCAGCTGCATGTCAGGGTCCCACCTCCCCTCAGCACACTGGCACCTGCCCTCTGGCCAGGCTCCACATCTGGATGCAGTCTGATCTGCTGCCCACCACACGCTTGCCCCCTGCCCAAGTTTCCATCCTTCAGGAACCACGCTGCGCTCACCACCTCCAGGAAGTCCACCCTGACTACAAAGGGTGGCCAGAGGAACCAGGGCTGGGCACAGGCCTCCCCCAGCCAGGCACGTGCTTCCTCTGCCCTCTTGCTGGTCTAAAGGAATAGATCTGCACTGGAAGCCAGAGGCCCAGGCTCCAGCCCGACATGTGACCTTGGACAAGCCCTGGACCCTCTGGGCCTCAGCTTCTCCACCCACACAAAGAAGGGTGGGCCAAGGTCTCCATGGAACACGTCCCCTGATCAGGAAGGCCCGGAGCCCAGGCCGGCCCCTCGCTCACGCTGAAGCCCAGGAGGCACCCCGCACCTCACCAGCGGCTACCACCGAGCCCCAGCACATCACTGCACCGCACAGGCAGCCTCGCAGCCTCAAGGAGCAAATCCCGCGGGACCGCACGGCCCAGCTGAGGTTTCGGTTTCCCAGCAAGAACAAGTGGGGCTGAAGAGATAAACAAGTGAAAGGAGATGAAAACTGCAGTCCCCACGAGAGAACAGTCCTGGGTGGTGAGACGCCAGCCCGAGACCCCGACAGGAGCCGGTGGGAAGGAGGTGGAAAAATACAAGCCACGCGTGGACCATGGGAACAGCCGCAGCGGAGAAGGGATCCCAGACAGCGCCTCCTAAACCCACGAGGCCCCAGGCACGAGACACTCAAGCAGAGACGCAGACCAAAACTGAGAGAAGCCACCCAGAATACAGGAGCCACCAAACCTGCGCTGGGGAAACCGAGGCCCACGGACGGCAAAGGGCTACGAGGAGCCACCCTGGGCTCGGGCCCAGGTCTGGCTGGACAGCTTGACAATCTCAGCGACCTCAGGGAAGCGGCCTTCCGTGCTACGCGCCCCCACCCGCCCCTAATAAACGTCACAACCCAAGGCCGAGAGACCCGCAGCCCGAGTCCCTCTGCTGGGAGGACCTGGGGTCGCAAGGCACCCCGGCCAGATCTGTAGGAGGAAGCACAACCCAGGACCAGCTGGCATCCAGCACGCTTGGGAATGTCCCGATGGTCTCTGGAGTTCCCTGCCCCACCCCCGACCCGGGTCTCCTCGACCAGCCCCTACTGAGCAGCGGGAACAAGGCTCCAGGACCCCCACGCACGCCTTCCTGGGCTCGCTCATTCAGTACCCGCATCCCCCACCCCCAGCCTTGGCTCCCGCTGCTTCTGCCTCTGCCTCTCCCAGAGCCCAGGCACTCGGCCGGGCCCACTATGACCTTGAAGAGGCTCTGATCAATGTCTGTCCCCAGCGGGGCTGGGAGCCGCCAGCAGGCAGGACCGAGAGTGTCTCTTCCGTAATCCCAGAGCCTAGCACACGGCAGGTACTCAGGAAAGAGCCGGTAAGCGAGCTCACAGCCCCCGGAGATGTGCTGCCAACAGAGCAGCAGCCGACCCCATCATCAGAGGCATGCAAAGGAGGTCCGGGCAACCGCCACGTCCAGAACCACACCCTGTGCTCCAAGAAGGGAGAGGGCCAGCACCACCTACCTTCGCGTTTCATGCCCATGGCCAGGCACTTCTGGTAGCGGCAGTACTGGCACCGGTTCCGCTGCCGCTTGTCAATCAGGCAGTCTTTGTTGTCCCGGCAGGTGTAGGTCAGGTCCTTGCGCACCGTCCGCTTGAAGAAGCCCTTGCAGCCCTCGCAGCTGTACACCCCATAGTGCTTGCCTGCAGGTGGGGCGGCCGTGAGCAGCCTGTGGCCAACTGGCAGAAGGGGCTCGTCCCACCGGGGTAAGGGAGCCAGCCTGGGAGCGCAGCAGGGCTGCATCCCGGCCCCGCCCAAGACCTGGACCCCGGGGTCCTCGCCGTCTCCGCGTCTGAGATGGCGGCCCGAGGAGGTCGGCCATCCTGCCCCCGGGGCTGCCAGGCTCGGGAGTGGGACGTGAAGGGCCCTTCACCCGGGGCACAGCCCTGCTGCCCCCATGCCATCGTCACCACCACAGCTGCCTCGTCTCTGGAAGCCTCAAAGCCACGCTGCCGCTTACCATCTCCCGGACGTGGACACACTAGAAGGTCCCGGGTGAGCGGCTCGGAGCTCCAAGCAGCCCCCTGTTGGCCAGGGGCCCTGCCGTCCCCACTGTGCCCTCGGCGGCTTACCTGAGGAGCGGTCCCCGCAGATAGCACAGATGTGCTTGGTGAAGGACGCCATGTTCCCTGAGGGGTGGGCCGGGACTTTGAGGACGCCGTTTAGGCCCAGCGGGGGCTTGATGTCCTCGCTGCTGCTGACGGGGTTCATGGGCGAGTTGAGCTGAGGGGGGGGAAGCCGGGGTCAGCCCTGGCAGGCTGCTGCTAGGCACCTGCTGCTGGGCCAGGAAGGTGCTACCACACACCCCCTTTACTGAGAGAGAAACTGAGGCTCGGAGAAGGGCCTTGCCCACCCCAAGCCACGCGGAGCGGCAGGGCCCAGCCCCGCTGAGCGCAGGCGGGATGCCGGGCACTACTTACTCAGCCAGGCTGGGAGGCCGTCCTGCCCTCAGGGCCCGACCCTCCCGCAGGACCCCAGGCTCGAAGGAGGACCCGCAATGCCCCTGCTCACACCCTCTGCCCCTCGCCCACCTAAATAAGAACTGCCTGCCATTACTGGGCGCTCCCCCGACAGGACAGCGAGAGCGCTGGGACCTCTGGTGAGGCAGGCGCTTTGGGGACTCCCAACCCATAGATGGGCACCGAAGCCTGGTCCCAGCAAGGAGGGAGGAGATCCAGGGTCCACCAGCAGGCCACACTGCCCCGGCCTCGGCAGGCAGGGTCGGGGTCTTGGATCGTGTGACCCAAGGAGAGAGGGAGGAGACAACATCCCTTACACACACACACACCCCCCTCCATCCCTCCCGCCATCCTGACACTGCTCCAGGAAGAAGGGTGGGAAGCTCACCGGTCACCCTGGCAACAGCTGCAGCGGCTGCAATGACACAGCAGTTTTGGTTCCGCTGCGCCCACCCCAGCTCTCCCATCAGCGCCAAGGGCCCCGAGGTGCTTCCCGCCGCATCCTGTGCGCCAGCCAGCCCCCACAGGCACCAGGACGCCAGCTGGGCGGCCCCCCAGCACCCCGACTTCTGCAAACCCCTGACAAAGGCGGAAGTCAGGTCCTACGATGTCTCTGGATGGACAGCAGCTGCCACGCTGCCCCCTGGTAGCCCCAGGCTGGGCCCCTCCTGCACAAGGGAACCTCACCCCCTTCCTTTCCCGTGGCCCCCAACCCCCTACTCCCATCCCCCTTTCTCACGGGACGGGAAGAGCCGGGTGCTCAAAGCACAAACCATCCCAAAGGCTGTTTCACACCAGCCCCAGCGCCTGCAGGGATTCTTCCAGCCCTGGACAGGTCTGGATTCTTCTGCTCAGGTGGGCTGTGGTTCTGTCAGGTCACTTAACCCCACGGGACTCGCAGGGGGCTGCAAGGAGGCCGGGAGGCCAGCCCCGGCCACCTGGGGCTGTCAAGATGCAGGAGGTGGGGCGAGAGGGCGTCCAGAGGACCCCACTGCACCCAAGAACACGTACCCCACACCTCCAACCGCCCCCGCAGGACCTGCAGGCTTCAGGAGCATCTCCCAGATAAGCCTCAACTAAGCAGGGGCGCTGACTGTTTGCTAAGGGCCACTATGCACGGCACCTGTCACGTAGAAAGCCCCTAGTGAGCAGGGAGAGCTGCCCTCCCCTTTCCAGAGTGGACACAGAGGTTCAGGGAGGTCAGGGGACCTGCAGAGAGCCCATGGGGGCTAAGTGGCCGAGCAGGTGTGAGCTCAGGCCCCTGGGAGCCACAAGCGCTGAGGGACTCCCCGCACACTGCAGAAGGGACAACCGGGGCCCCAGGGGACGGGCCGGCCCAGAGCCGCTCAGTGATCCCATCCACCAGACCATCCACTGAGCATCCAGCCAGGCTCCCGAGGCCCCGAGGAACACGCCCTGCCCAGCCTACGGAGCTCGCCCACGGCCGTAGGCGGGACGGCCACAGCTTATCTCGGGATTCTGCCTCCTCCATTCCCTGTGTGACTGTAGGGAAATTATCTAACCACTCTGGGCCTGACGCTCCTCGCGTAAAAACTGGAGAAAGCTGAGTGCCTCCGTCCCAGGGCTGCCATTGGGGCAACGGAGTGATTCACGGGCAGCGCCAACAGCAGAGCTCACGAAGCCAGCCTGGGGTGCAGCCTCTGCATTAGCACTCGGGCTTCCGGGGGCCGCCGCTAGGCCAGCTGGGCCGCGGACAATGGAAGGCGGCGTCCCAGGCAGAGCCCCCCCCGCCCCGCCCGGAGCAGACGTCTGGAGGTGGGGAAACCAAAGGACTGTTGGGAAAAGGGCAGGAAATCCGTGCGGCCGGGAGTGGAGGTTCAGCAGCAGGGGCCGGGGGCAGGCCTTGAGGGGCCACTGGGCGCGTGGGAGCAGCGGGCGCAGGCTGGAGGCTGGCACGAGGCCTCTCTCGGGCTGCGGGAGCCCGGCCGCGACTCCACGCGGCTCTGGATCCGCTAGGCGGCACCGAGGAGGGGAGCTTGGGCGTTTCCTCTTTCTGTGGTTGCTCAAACCATGCCGGGTGGGTAGGGGCCACCTGTCCTCTCTCCCAGGCCCCCACGTGCAGGCCCTCGGGCCCGGCGCCTCCCCTAAGGAAACAGGCAGGCCGCAGCACCAGGGAAGCAGCTGCAGGCAGGATGGATGGAGCCGTCAGTCACCGTCAGTGTCGTGGCCAAGCTGGCTCCCAGGCCACACGCTGAGGGCATCCCTGCCCTCCCGGGCTCAGGCTTCCTTCCCGTGGGCACAGCAGTCAGCCCCGAGGCTCTGGGGAGCCCTAGGAGACCCTGCACGTGTGTGAAGATGTAGGCTGGTTGTAGCCCCATCCTCACCCTGGGCCTGGGGCCTCCACTTCCCTTCTCTGCCTCAACTGGTGGGTCCTGGCACGGCCGCCATGGCAAGGCTGAGGGGGACAGGGGTCGCCCTTCTCCCTCCCTAGCCCCAAGCTGGTGGGCCTTGGACTGGTCCACAGCCCCCAGGACAGAGCGCGGGGTGCCTTGTTCTGCCAGACACGCACACCCACCCACCGTGGGCTCAAAGCCCCCCCCCCCCGCACCTATGGGGGATGGCTCCCCTCCTGCACTCCGTCCCGTGTCCTAGGAGACCCGGGGTACCAACAGCCCCTTCTGGAGGCCAAAGACTCCCTGGCGTGCCCAGAATGGGGGTCCCATCCCATTTCCCCTTTCATATCCTTGGCAGGTATCTCAGTTCCCGCAGAGCCTACAAGACTTACTGAAATAACCACCCGGCTCCATCAGGGCCCCCCAGGTCTCCTCGCCGCCCCTCTCTTCCACGCCCACCGTGCCCTTCCTTCCCGGCCCATGCTGGTAAGGCCCATCACCCACGGTCAGGACGGGGTGGCAGGCCCTTGGCCCCGCTGGCCTCCATCTGCCCATCAAGGCAGGTGGCGAACGCCATGAAGCACACGTGGCCTGCTGGACGCCCCGTCACAGAGGCCTCCCAGCTGTGGTGCCCACAGTGAGAACAGGCAGGGACCACGCAGGCCCTGCTCCAGGGAGGCTCGCCAGGCTGGTGAGGCCAGGAGACTGAGGCGCCCACACGTGCCAGGCCCTGTGGGCGGGCTCTGGGATGTGGTGGGGAATGTTCCCTGGGCTGATGGAGCCCCCGAACCCGGGGAGAGAGGCGGGGCAACTCGGCAACAGTACCTGAGGTCCAGCCTGGCCCTGCCCAGACCCACCCCCGCGCCGTTTCCATTTCCCTGCAGGGTGGGGTCGAGGAGGAGGCCCTCCCTGACAGCAGAAGTCAGAAAGCCTCACTGGTTCCGGCCCTGTGACTTTGCGGTTGTGGTTTTGAGGCAGGGTGTGGGGGTATGTCCCCCTCGAGCTCCACCCACACTTCCATGAATCTGGGGAACCCCAGGTTTCCAAGACAAACTGCTGAAGCCTAGAAGCTGAACTCAGGGCCCAGGGAAGGATTTACGGGGGCAGGGGTGGAGGCAGGGGTCAGGGGGACTGAGGCCGCGCACGGGGCTCAGACCACGGCTAAGCAAACTGCGGCCTGATTGACCTACGGAGGAACAGGCAGACGGCTGACCAGAAGGGCAGCCGTGAACGTCTGGGACACACGGGGTTTGTTCCCCACCCTCACCCCCTCCTAAGCTCCACTCCCGCCCTCATCCCCTCATCAGCCTCACGGGACCTGCGGCCCCTCGCTCACAATCAACCTGCATTCAACAAGCACCCACCGTGTGCCAGGAACCTGGCTGTGTGCAGGGAACAACAGAGAACAGGGTGGACGTGGCCCCAAACCACCACTCGCCAGCACCGCCCACCCTTGCCCCCAGACGGGCTACCAGTGCCAGGGGGCACCAGGCTCCCTCAAGGTTTAGGGGGCATCACTGCCACCCTCGGGCCCTGCCCCCGCACAGCCCTTGCTCCAGACTCCACACCCAGGCTCCTGCCGAACGCCTGCCCGCGGGGTGTGCAGGGCAGGCACCAGGCCCGGGGGCCAGCAAGGAGCCTCACGGGGCCCTCCCTGGGAGCCAGCCTCTGTCCTGGTTCGCAGGGGACAGGGTGCAGGCCCAGCCCTCGTGTGCCCTCCCGTCGAGCAGCATCGTCAGGGTGTGGCGGCCATACGCTCACAAGAGCACGGCCGGGCCCAGGAAGGCAGCCAAGACCCCCGTGCCAACACCTCCGGCCTACTGCCTGCTTCTGGTGACAGGTGACATGAGGGGCCACCTGAGGCCCGAGCTCCTCCGCACCCGTCCTCCAGGCACAAAGGGGCTGATGAGGTGGCCCCGGAAGAGCCAGCAAGATGCTCCACCAAGACCAGCTCTGGACAGGCCCAGCCGATGGAGCGGGGGAGGGCTGTCCTGCAGGCAGCGTGGCTCCGTGGGCAGCTCTGGGCCGTGGAGCCTGCGCCCGAGTCCCTCTCTGGCCGCTGTCCTGCAACCCCGTGGAAACAGCTCCCAGAGCTTCCCCCACGGAGCCCTCCTCTAAGGGGACCTCCCTCTACGGGGATGAGAGCCGGACCCAGACTTGAACGACGCTCAGAGCAAAGGGGGTCCCACCAATGTCCAAAAGGACAGTTTGAGCCCCAGAAAGAGGGAAGACCCCTGGGATTCAGCAGATCTCCCAGGCATCCAGTGAGAAATCCACCAGGAAACCCCCAGAGCCAGGAGAGGAGATGCCTAGCAGGGGTCCTGGGCACTCAGGACAGCTCTGCAGGGGTTCAGACGAGAAGCGCCCAGGGGAGGGTGGACCAGGCCTCGGGGGTCCCCACGGCAAGAACTGGCTGAGTCAGGCCCACCAGGTGCCAGCAGCTTCCTGATCTGGACCCAACCCCGAAAGCCAGGCTGTTCAGAGGAGCATCTGGGCAAACACGACCACAGAGACCACCGAGCCTGGCAGATGAGCCTCGGGCCTGGCACCCCCGAGGAGGCAGCATCTGCCCGAGCCTGGGGGTCGGGGCAGGGAGCACCGAGACACCCCGTGTGGGGAAGGGTCCGGGCCTGGGCACAAGAAGGGCAGGCCAGGGGACGACGGGGCTCCAGGTAGGCGGCTTCAGCCTGAGGACCTAGGAGTCCCCACCCTACAGAGCTCCGAGTCCTAGGGGCAGGTCCCCCCCGCACTGGAGGGGGCCTCGCTGGGACAGAGGGCCGGCGAGGAAGCTTGGTCACTGACCCCCGAGGGCCACGGGTGCAGGAGCCGGCCAGACCTGAGCTCAAACCCAGGCGAAGGCTGCCTCTCTGACACTGTTTCCAGAGAGGAAAGGTAGAAGTGACAGCACCTGCCTCCCAGGGTCCACAGGACTATGCGGGTAAAGCCAGGCCCCGCCCCTCTGGTCCAGGCCCCGCCCCCGCACTTACCTGGGGGCTGCCGGTGCCGAAGCCCAGTGTGGGTGTGGTGGGCACGGACATGGAGTGGGGGCCCATGGGGGAGCTGATGACCGAGAAGGGCGGGCCCATGCCGTTGATGGGGGAGCTCAGGGTGCTGATGGGCGAGTGCAGCTGTCCCGGGGAGCCGAGCGAGGAGCCGATGCCGGGCCCCAGGGAGGGGTGCAGCGAGGGGGCGGCCATGGAGCCGCGCCCCGTGGGGGAGTTGAGGGAAGAGGAGTTCACCTGCGTGGAGAAGTCTGTAAGACAAGAAGCCACAGGAGGCCAGTCAGGAATCCACACCTGAGGGATATAGCCTGGCCCGCTACCCCTCAGGCCACAGCTACCACACCAGGCCGTGGAAGGGCAAGGGACCCCCACTGCCATCCTACGGCTCCCCAGCAACACGAGGCCAGGCCAGCCATGCCCAGAGCTCCCCTCCAAGGCACCAGCCCCACCTGGCCCAACTTTAAGGTTCAGGCTGGGCCCCAGGCAGATGCCGGAAAAGCAGGCTGACAGCTGCTCTCAGATGCCTATCTGGGCAGGGAGGCCAGATGGCTGCCCCTGGAACCCTCAGCACCCCAGGCCTGTCCACCTGGAATGCCTGGTGGCCGGGAGTTGCCAGCCCCTCTGCCCATCTACTCCAGGGGTCAAGGTGAAAGTCTGGGGATAATAAAAATAATGAAGGCTGACATTTTCAGAACACCCACTATATAGCAGAAACGGTGCATGTCCTCAGTGGAGATGAACGCACGGAGTTAGGAGGTACACGGCGGTCCTATTATCCCATTTTACAGATGGGGAATTGAGGCCCTGTGTTTTTACCGCTGCCCACGGCAGGGCAGGCCCAGCACACAGCCTGGGCCTGCTCAGGTACCCCAGCGGCGGTGGCCAAGACAACAGGCCCCCAGGCCCCTCTACCTCATGGGGCCCCAAAGAATACAGCTTCCTGTGTGCCCAGGCCTGGTGGTGTGTGGCCTGAGGCAGGGGAGCTTCCAGGCAGGCCTGGTGGAGGGGGCCCAGGTGTGCACCAAGCCTGCAGACGGGCAACCCACAGAGGCTGCGGCAGTGAGAGGCCGGGACCTCCCACACACCAGCCTTTCATGCCAGGGATTTCAAAGCCCCACCAGGCACTAATTGGGCCTCCCCTCCCTACCCTGAGGGCTCAACAAGAAGCTTCCCCAGGAAGGAGGCTCTCCGGGTGAATCCACTGCCCTGGGGCCTGAGCAGACCGTGGGGAACTCAGAGAGGCCCAAACAAGGCAGCATGAGTCAGAGCTGCAGGCCACAGCTAGTCCAGTCCGGCCTCTGGCAGGGTGTCCTGAGCAAGCCACGCCCCCTCAGTGGGCCTCAGCCTTCCCATCTGCAAAATGGTCTCTCGGGCCCTTCCCGCCGGGCCTGCAGTGATCACACATGCTTCTGAGAAGTCGAGCGGGCCACGGGTGTGATCGGGCGGCCCCCGTCCACGTACCCCCAAGTTGAGGGACGTGCCCTGCTTGCACCACCCAATAGCCACAGGAGAACTTCGCCTGCCTGAACCTCGGAGCGGCCGTGCCCCGAGCGGTCCCTGAGCGCCAGGCTTGGAGCAGGAAGAAGCCTTGTTTATTTGTGCATCGCCCCCAAGTCCTCTCACCCACTTTGGTCACCGGTGCAAACTGAGTCTCGGGGACAAGCTGCAGGACACCGCTACCAACAGTCAGGGCCGGGTAGACCCGACTCAGGCCAGAGCTGAGCTTCCTCCAGGGCCTTGTGGACTTGTCCATGGAGGTGTTGGGCGGTGGCCAGCCCGTGGGGTGGGGTGGTCCCCGCAGGAACATGGGAGGCTCTGCCAACCCTGGGGACCCCCTTCTCTGGGAGCACTTACCCATTCCATCCTGTAGCCCCCAGCCTGCTGGGCACCTCCTCCCTTGCCTGCCCTCTGAGGGAGGAGGGGCACGGGAAGGGGGCCTAGAATTCCCTGCCAGGGAGTGGGGGCCTGCCTGCCACTGCACCAGCAAAAGAGCCTCATCTGATCCGTCTGAAACCGTTGCCATTCACAGAACTGGGAATAAACCATTTCACTGAACTTGAAAATAAGAGCTTAAAATTCCAGAACCAGATGGCGGCACCTATTGGCAGAGATGGGTACTGCAAGCCAGCCCTATTAGTCATTAAGCTCCCTGCACCCACAAGGTCTGGCTGCACATCCTTGACCTCACGGAATGCTTGCGACCCTGTCCACCCACCTGTGACAGACAAGGAAACGGGCACAGGGAAGGTGCAAAAGTTACCCAGGCACACACCCCAAAACCTGCAGCTGCCCCTAGGCCGAGCAGCCACGGTTCTTTCTACCAGGCCCCTGGGACAACTGGAATGCCCATTTCACCTGGCCCTTGACCACCCCTGCATGAGGAACCCTGAGCCAGCTGGTCCCTGTCCAAGCCCACCCTGCAGGATGCAGGCTAGCGCTGGCCCCTCCCCTTTACTCAGTCCCGAGAAGCACACCTCCGACTTCAGGCGGGGAGGGCAAGGGAAGCAAGATGGACATTACTACATCCGTTTTGCAGACACCTCCACCAGAGAGCACGGGGGGCAACTGCTGGGGCTCTCGATCGGACAGGGGTCCCAACCCCAGCAGCGCGTCCAGAAGCCTGAGGGCCTGGCCACCCTAGGGAAGCAGCCCACTCTTCTCCCCAGCCTCTGGGAACGAGATGGGGGTCTGGGGCCAAGAGGGAGACAGCACTCCGGGATTCTCACAGCTTCCTCACCTCCACCCGCTGCCCGGAAATCTTGGGAGGACTGGGGGGCTCTGAATGGGAGAAGAGGACGGGGTGGGGGACTTCTCGAGGGCTGCTCTCCTTAAGGGGCAGAGTGCAGCCGGGAGCGCCATGGGGCCCAGAGCCTGTCGGGGCCTCTGCTGCGGGCCGGCTACACCTGCGGGGTGTGGGGAGCCGGGCTTCCCGTTCACACAGCTGCAGAAGAGGCTCCCCAGGTCCACGCTGGGCCTATGGGGCCTGAGCTGCTTGATTATTTGTTTGTTTGTTGCTCCCTGGCAGGAAGGGGTGGGAGAGGCAAGAGAAAGCTTTGGCCGGAAGGGAGGAGGGAGGGAAGTGGCTCCTTAGACCGACAGCTACCAGGCTGCACCCCAAAGCTTCTGCAGCCCCTCAATTCTGGGAACCGTGAGGAGGGCAACAACGAGATGGAAGGAAACTGGGCAAGACAGGAGGAGCCGGGTACAGGGGGGCAGGGGGCCTCCGGTAAAAAGGGGGGGCCAGGGGAAGGGGCACCAGCCTCCAGCCTCTGCGTGTGGCCCGTCTCCCAAATGCAAAGGTCGCGGCCCGGTTCCTGAGCCCAGCCCCCATCCTCTGAGCCCCAGGGTCACGTGTACAGCAACTGCTCCAAACCAGGGACTGTGAGCCCCTGGGAGGGGCCACCCCGGCCAAGACCCACCTCAGCGACCCCCACTCTGGGCCCTTCCTGTTGACACAGAACATCCACAGCAGACACCTTCCTGGGGCCTGGGTGACAATGGGCAGCGGGTATTTTCTGGAGTCCTCTGGAGTCTGGCCAGGAAGGGGACGTTAGGAGGAAAAGGGAAAAATGCCTAAACACCCCCTGCTCGCAGAGAGGCCCCGCCCTGCCCTCCACGTGCACGCAGCCTCTGCCTTTTCCGGGCCTCTATCTGTCCCCACCCACTGATAAACAGTAGATGCGATAAGGCGCTATTCTTGAAGTCATACTTTGGACTCGCAGGGGACTTGTCACCAGCGGTCACCACACGCTTATCTGATCCTGGGCTGCAGGACACCAGGCTCAGGCCCAGACCCCACCCTGGGAGCTGCTGACACCCAGCTCTCCCCACCCAAGGGGGCGCACGGGGCCTCGGAGGGAGGGGCAAAACCCAACTGCCGACTCCTCCCCCCCCCCACCGCCGCCCAAGAACCCGGGCCTCGCCAGGCCTGAACCCAGCACCTCACACCGCTTTACACCCTCCATGCCCCTGGGGACCAGCAGTAATCCGTGAGACTCAGGACTCCAGGGAAGGAGACCATGGCCCGGGAGCTCACAGGGACCTCCAACAAGAGACAGGCCCCCGTCCAGGCAGGAGGACATCCCAGCAGCCCCAACACAGGCAAAGGGACTTCAAAGAGCTAGCAGATTCAGTTCAGGAAGGCTTGCGTGGAAGAGGTGATGGACAGATCTCTCCCTTGGCACAAAAAGCGTTTTAGGCCAACTGACTCTAAAATGCAAATACCTGGAGGCCAGATAGGGAAGCCACGGAGCAGAGATGGAATGCCCTGGAATGCTCGGTGCCCAGAGCAGGAGAGCAGTAAACCCCTGGGCCCCCAGAGTATATGGGTGTGAAAAGTTACATTCAGTAAAGTTAAAATAAAGAATGTTCTCACGGTAACTGACAAGGGCACAGGCTGCTCCTTGAGGTAGTGAGTTCCCCGTCACAGCTGTATGCAAGCAGAAACTACAGCCACCACTCAGGAGTGGCCAACCAGGTGGGCCCTGAGGTCCCTCTGAGAGAGGGAAGGGACATTCCCCCCCCCCCCCCCCCCCCGCCAACAGTCCTGAACTGCACGGGCTCCCTCCAGAATGCCCGCCAGGACCCTCCTGCCCCCCCGCCCCACCCCGGAACCCCCAGCAGGAAGCGGGGGAACCCCCACCAACTCCTTTCTGGTCTCTGCCAGACAGCCTGGGAAGGCGGGGGAGGTGGCAGGAAATACCAACCCCGCTGAGGCTGCCCGGCTGGGGCGGGGGTGAGCCCCTGGATCTCCAGCCCCTCTTCGGGAGCCAGGGAACCCCCGACTCTCAGAAAGGGGAGCTCAGGGCTCCTCCGCGGCCCTTCTGAACCTACAGGGCCGATCAGGGCAGGGTCCGGGCGGGCCACAGACTGGGGTCGAGAGCCCAGCCAAGCAGGAAGCCCAGCAGAGGGAGGGGAGGGACAGGCAGTCCAACCGAAGGAGCACGGGAAGGAGTCCCGTGGGGCTGGAGTGAGCGGGAACTTCAGAGGGGGCCGTGCAGGACAGCACGGAGGTGGGAGAGGGGGCCAGGAGGGGAGAGGGGCACAAAGGGGGGAGGGGAGCCCCGAGGGTGCCAGCTCCCTACCCTGACAAGAATGAACACAAATCCGCTCCCCCCCCCCACCGCCCCGAACCAAAACCCCACCACGGGGGTGCTGGAGAGCCCTCGGGAGCTTTCTGGGACGCCCGCCTCCAGACCCCACCTTCCGGAAGGACTGCTTCCCCTGCCGCCCAAGGGAGGGAGAAGTGGCA